TGGCAATAGATGCTGTGAGAGATAACAGCAAAGATAAATCAGTGAACCATACCCTCCAGATGTTTACAGTCAAGCAAGGATGATAAGAAATCTCCATAGATAACAATAATACAAAGTAGAAAGTGGTAAATACCATAAGAGGATTGAGATATAGCCTAGTTTTAAGGGAGTTCTGAAGAAAAGGTGTACACCTAGAAGTAATGATAGAAGCTAGAGGGGAGAGGAAGAGGGAAGGAAGAAGAAAGAAAGGAAGGAAAGAAAGAAAAAAAGGGAAAGGGAAAAAGGAGGGAAGAAATCCTGGAAATATTTAGAATGAGTAAAAATGGGGGTAGAGGAAGGAGGATACTCAAGGAGAGCATGGGCAAGAGACTGGTCAATTCAAAATGGGGACACATGTAGGCTCTGGGTACTACCTGGAGGGGCTATGAAAATCCCCCAAATGTATAGTGAGTCAATGCCCATGGCTTATCCTCCTTCCCACCAGGGGTCAACAGGAAGAGATTTGGCAAAAGAGAGGCCATTATCCCCTTAGAGAGACAGGAAAATAGAAAGTGATGCTCCCAGAGCTAGGCCTGAAGAACTGTGTGATGTTAGTAATGAGCTCCATTAAGAGGAATTAGAGACACTGAGTATAGGGTTCTCACTCAAGTTTCTAGTATTTCGGTAAATAGGATTTTTGTTTTGAAGAAAATAGAGACAGTAGATTGAAGAGCAGAATGTTTTGGTTATTTCTTTTTTTGAAGAGTTGAGCTATCAATATGTATGTTCTGAAGATACAAGAATTAGTACAAAGTCCCTGCTCTGAAGTGCGATGAGGGAGATAGAGTTTAATAAGCATTTGTGATCTGGAGTGGCACACTGCTGTGGGATCACAGAGAACCACCATCCTGCAGAATCAGCGAGACTTCATGAAAGAAATAAGTGGTTTTGAGGTGAATAAAAGGATTGTTGGCTTCAATGAGGTTAGGTAGCAGAATAATTGTGGTAGAATCAATTGGCTCAGTTTCATAGCCATATCAAGTGATGCCAGCTGCTTGGAGGACAGGAACACCAAAGGCAGATGCTGGTATTTATCCTGGGTTATGTTGTGGCAAAATAACATATATGAAAGAAGGGCAGAGTGACCTAAGGTTCTAGCCCTAGCAATTGAAATGGCTGCCCACAGGGTCAGTGTGGTATAAGCAAGTCAGAAGACAAATGAAAGAAGAAAGGAGGGAAAGAAGCAATTGGAGTGAGAACCACAAGTGGGTGGTTTTGTCCCTTTCATAGCCTCAGAAATCTTCTGGTGACACATGTGGGAGAGCTCATCTATCCCTTGGGAAACTGATCTGGGGTTTGAGTACAAAGCCAGGTGTGAGGAGGTAGCTGAACAGAAGTCTGTGTGTGGGGGCAGTCCTCTGTGAGAGAATTCATCCCAAGCAAACATAATTCATGCTGGATGAACTTGAACTAGAACTTAATCTTCCAGGGGCTTGGGGGTCTGAATTCAGCATGGAAGCATAACTGTAACCTGCTCCATCCCTTCAATGCAGGTCCATGCAAGAAAAAGAAAGGAAAAACTGAGTGATATCTATAGAACACTGAGGTTGCCTGGGGAGTTGTCTGTGCAGCACGAAGATGGGCATTTTACTATCCCCTTTTCCACAAGCTATGTCTGAGCTTGAATATCATAAGAACCCCTGTGCTCTAATGACAGTGTTTGGCAGAGACCATGGCACCCGGTGGAGCTGGGGCACATCCAGAGGGCATTTTCATGTACACAGGTTCATACTTACCAATAGGCCCAGAGAAACCTTGTAAAGTGGGCCTGGAAGGCTGGTTCCTCAGTCATGGCCGGGAAAGACCAGTGGATTTGGGGCTCCTCACTGTCTCTGTAGAGGCAGGTCAAAATGTTTGGCTCTAGAATTATGTAGATTGGATTTGTCACATGTTAGCTCTGTGAACTTGATCAGGTAGTTTAAATCTTTGAGCTTGCTTCCAGAGTTACCTTTACCATCTCAGGTCCACAGAGTAGACGAGAAATTGAATATATGTCTTTAACATGTGGCAGAGTCAGACCACACACACACATAATTCCAATTCTGCCTGAAAGGTGCTTCTTCGTCACTCCTTGCTGAATCTTACTCATCTTAAATCTAAAAGTCAAATTTCAGAGAAGCCATCCCTTGGCCTCCATAACAAACTCTAGACTGCCTATCCAACATCCATTCCCACCATCTCCTTTTATTTGGGTATCAGCTCCTCAGGGAACTCTTGAAGACTTCGGGGATAAATGCTGAACTTAAGGCAACTACAGTAATCCTCCATCCATTCCTAGCCTTTAGGCCTGAGCATGGGACTTGGTTTGGACTAATGGCAGGTGAGAAGACATCTACTGGGAGCTTATGAGATAGATTTCCTCTTGAAACGAGACACACTCTGCTACCATTGGGCACTGGCAGGGCTGGTTAGCATAAGGAGGGCTGTTCCAGCCATCCTGGGAACCTGGGAGATGGGAGGGGAAAAACAAACAGCCTGGGCCTTCCCTGACATCACTGAGTTGCTGAGTTCATCAGCTAAAGCTTCTAGACCTTGGAACTTCTAGTCATATGAAACTATAAATGTCCTTATCATTCAAGAAACTTTAAATCAGGTTAATTATTAAATGCAGCCTCCCACATCTAAACTATGACCACATGTTTCTAACTCTCATATTTTCCTTCGGAGCATTTATCACATATACAATTTTTAAAAAAATATATATTTTATTGATTTTCCACAGAGAGAAAGGAAGAGGGATAGAGAGCTAGAAACGTCGATGAGAGAGAAACATTGACCAGCTGCCTCCTGCACACCCCCTGCCGGAGATGTGCCCACAACCAATGTACATGCCCTTCACCGGAATCAAACCTGGGACCTTTCAATCTGCAGACTGATGTTCTATCCACTGAGCCAAACCGGTTTCGGCTTCTTTTGTATTTATTTGCTTGATGTCTCTTTTCCCCCACTGGACTGTAGATTCTAAACTGCAGAAACCACAGGTTGATTTTGCTCACCATTACAACACCAGACCTGAGGCCTAGGATATGCTCAGGCACATTTTTCTCCTCCTTGTCCCCTGAGACCTCCTCCTTGTTCTCTACAATTCGGTGTGGTGCTGCTGACCAAGCACGGGATTGGTGGGAAAGAAGCTATGCTCCCTCTCAAAGGCTAACTAGTTGGGTGGCCGTGGGCAGCAGCCTGCACTACATCAATGGCTTTCAAGCTTTTACCTTCAGGAACAGTAAGAAAATACATATTCCATGGCTGACCAAATACATACATATTTAACTGAATTGAAAGATTTATAGAGCATGCTCTTACTATGTGAAATGTACTCTGGTATTTTTATTTCACTTCATTAAAAAAAAAAAAGGAGCTTTGACTCAATATGTCAAATTTGGGGACCCATTCATTAGCAACCCACAGTTCTTTCTACCTCCTCCTCTCCAAAGAAACTGAACTAAATGAAATGGATGGACTTTGAAAAATCTCTGATTTCATCTTCTTTGCTGTTAAATTTTATATAAACATCTATTATAGTTCGCTGACTTAAAAAGTCCATTGTCATAGTGACTTAACAATGACTTAACTAGTTTCCTGTGGACTTCTTCCCCGTCCCCATCTGTTCTGGTTGGGCTATTTTGAAGGCATCTGTTCTGGTTGGGCTATTTTGAAGGCTTGTATAAAATGGCATATGTTTATGAAAAGTATAATAGATACCTTGTATTCCCCCCCCTCCCCCCCCTTAGCACAAAAACAGGACCACGTTCTTCCTCCTCTGAAATTTAATGGCCCCATTCGACATGTTTACGCGGGCCTCCTTTCTATATGTTTTTGTATGTACCAGTGCCAAGGGTAGTTACCCTAGCCCCACTGCCACCACGTGGCTTAACACCCAGGAGAGTTGGGTTCTAACATTCTCCGGCACAGGGGAGAATAGACCCTCACTGTACTCCCGTTCCTCCACACCAAACTGCCCTTGTCCTCCTGGATGTGCCAGTGACATTCCTGGGGAAGGGGGAAGGGGGGCCAAGAGGAAAGGGAGAAAGCCACACGAAGGTCTCACAGCTCCAGAGCACAGCAAATAATGCGGTGGAGTAGACATATATTTAGAAAACCTTAGTGCAAGCCTCTGGAAAAAACATGTAATCAAAAGGCAATGCGGGGAGAGCTTGGGTGATCAAGAAAACTCCCTGCCAAAAACAAACAAAACAAACAAAACAAAACAAAAAGGAAGGAAGGTATTCAGAAGGAAGGTACCATTGCATCATGTGAATTGGCGACCTGGATCAAGGTATGGCTTCAGAGTCAGGGAAGAGCGCGTCACCCAGCTGCTGCTCCAGGGTCACATTATCTTGCAGAAGGGCGCTGGGGTGACAGAGGAGGGCACACCCCACACCCAGGATGGGATGTGTGTGCCTGTTTGTGCTCTGGGAGGGAAGGCGAGGTGGGAGAGCTGCCTGCAGGGAAAACAGGCTGGAGGGATGGGGTGGGAGGGAGGGGAGTGCGGAAAGAGGTACACCTCCCAGAACTTTCCTCTCCCCTGGTCCCACACACTGGAAATAGAAATAATAACAACATGGAGGGGGGGGGGAGGCGGGGGAATGCTAACAACCGCGGTGGTGTTATCTCTGTACTCAAGTTGCCTCGCTCTGGAAGGGATAGGGTATAAAGTGCAGATTGCGGCTATCTCAGCCGGACGGCTCCGGAGGAGTGAAGGTCCAGGCTGGTGTGTGGGTACGCGTGCCTGCGTGCGTGCGTGCGAGTGACCCCACTTTCAGGGAGGCGGGCTCCCTGCTCTTCCACGGCCCAAGCCCAAAGCCCGGGCTGACCCCTGCCCCCTCCTTTTTTCCCCCTCCACTCCTCCCTCTTTCCCTTCCCTCCCTCCTGAGCGCGACTCCTCTGCACCGGCCCCGCGGAGGCGCCTGGCGGCAGCACCCACGCCGCCGCAGCAGCTCCTGCCCTCAACGCGCCCACCCGCCCGCTGCCCGGGCTCCGAGGGGCCCCAGCGGCGGTGCCCGCAGCCCCGGGCCCGCGGGGCGCGTCCTGCCCCGGGATCCGGCGCGGGAGGCTGTCGGGAGGGCGGCGTGGGAGAGGACACCGCCGAGACGCAGGGGCGGCCGCTCGGGGGGACCAGCTGCGCACCTGGAAAGTTACCCGGCTGCCTGGTGAGGTTCGCGGGGTGGGGGTCCCGGGTTCGGAGGGGGAGAGGGGGCGCCGGGAGGGACCGGGTCGGGGACGCGCGCCGGTGGCTGCTGTGCGCGCCCCGCGCCTCCGTTCCGCACCCAGCAGGTCTCGTACCCGTGCAGTTGGCGTGGGGACGCGTGCAGGCTCGGGGTGGCAGCCTTTGGCGCTGTGTTAGCCAAGGGTGGCAGCCTTTGGTGAGCTTCTGGAGGCAGGGAAGGCTGCTTCCTTTCAAGCAGCTCGGCTGGGGCGGGAGGGGAGAGCTCAGTCCTTGGGGGTTTCTCAGGTTTCTAACAGTCAGCCCGGAGCAGCCCTGGCGTTCTTGCCCTAGGCTGGGGGCTTGTGCTGCTGTCAAGGCGTGCGCTCCAGACTGGGCGCAGCTTCTTGGAGCTCTGGGTAGCTGCTGGAGGACAGCACTCAGGCCAGGACTTTAGGAGTCCTTGCAAACTTGTGTGGGTGTCCTGGGGCACTCCTAGCACCGTGAGTGAGGCGCTTTCACATTTCTTGCTCTGTATTTCCAGGTGATGAAGAAACAAGAGCAAACACATAATGACAATAAATCAGCCACTTGGGGATGAGAGAAGACACAACAAGGGGCTTGATTTTGAAACACACACACACACACACACACACACACACACACACACGTACATGTGAGAATAGAAACAACGCAGGCAGCATTAACAGATAGAAAGGTCTGACAAATTCCTTGGTTTCCTTATTTTCATCTTGTCCCTGAAGTTCCCAGAGATTTTTTTTTTTTTTAAAGAGAACAACATACGCCTGCCCTCTCCCACAGTTCCTTAGAGATTATTGTCTCTTTTTTGCAAGTTTCTTCTTTGCTAGGTGATCATCCCACATATATACAGCATCTGTTGCCTAATTTCCTACAGGAGGAGCTCATATGACTGGAGAGTTCTCTTTGGGGAACTGGAGGCCATCCTCTCCTTTGGAACATTGTGCACCTAAGAATAAAAGCCATAAAAAAGATAGTGCAAAGAGATCTTTCTCTTTTATGGGAAATACTCCACAGTTCTGAAGTCCTTACAAGTGAAGCTAATTCACCTCAGAGTGAAGGCATTTGCTGCCTGATGATTGCCCAACTCTTTTGATCCATATTGCCTTGCTTCCTTAGGCCAGTTATTTTCAACCCCTGTGCCACAAAGATACTTAAAACATGCAATATTTTTTTAAAAACAGTGTGTTTAGTCAGTTTTTTTAAAAACATTGTGTTTACCTCTTTCCCGTTAGATTGTAAAATTAAAAAAAAAAACACCAAAAACGACAACTGCAAACACAACAATAGCCATCCTTTGCGAATGAATCACAATTATACTTATTTTTTGTCAGATCAGTAAAATATATAATACATTTTTGGGTGTGCTGCAGAATTTTAGTAATTAGTTTATGTTTGCCTTGGGATGAAAAAAGGTTGAGAATTCCTGATCTAGACCATTTTCCTATTAATTATCCCCTTTTCCCCTGTGTTTTCATTTTCTCTATCTTCACTGGTTCATTATTGTGGCCTTACAAAGAACTCTCGTTTCCACTGTCCGAAAAATCCCTACTCTGAGCACCTGCTCTTCCCATGGTCCTTTGTCCTAACTCTTTCATGAAGTCTAAATTCATTGTTTTCCCCTCTTATCTCAATTTTTTTTTTACATGTCTGTGGGGTATGAATTGCAGCCTGCTCACCTCTTGAAAATGTTATCCTCATTGGCTCCATGATAGTACTTCCTAGATCTCTTAATTGTACAACCATACTTTCTCCATCTTTGTTGTTTCTCCTCCTTGTCCTATTTATCTATAGATAATTGTCTAAGTATGTGTCCATAACCATAGAAGTGTTCCTTTCTTCTCTCCCTGAGTCATCTCATTTTTTAATGGGTCTTAAATTCTTACCTCTGTGAAGAGACCTCTCGCCTTGACCTTTCTTCTTGGTTACTATCTGCAGACATTTTCACCCTCATGACTCAGAGACACTCAAACTCAACATAAGAAGATTCATTACTTTTTATAAATCATGCTCATTCGCTGGACTTTGGTCCATGTCACAGTACCTAGCCCATACATTGTACTCTATTCATTTTTTTTTTAATGAATGAATGAGTTCACAGTACTACCTTCCTCCGAGCCTTTTTATTGTATAAACATTGTTAAAACATTGGAATCATTTTTGACTCCCCATTGAATTACCACATTTAGAGATTCTGCTCCTGCAGTATTCCTCCCACCATTTTCATTCTTTCTTATTAATCCCTCCAGATCCTCTCTTACTTTTACCAAAATAATAGCTTTTTTTTCTTTTTTTCTCCCCCCCCCCCCCATCTGTAGTTTCTCTTTCAAACTTCATATAAACCTAGACATTCTTCCTCTCTTCGTTGCCAGTCTCCTGGGCACTTTCATCTACTTCTTCAGTCTCTACTTCGGACTCACTTATTGCTACATATTTTCACTTCCCTTCTTCTCACTTTCTAGTCCTTAATTTCTTACTGTCTATTGAACTCCTCCATCCTGAAATTTCCACAGGTCCTTCAAACTGAGGGTGTCCAAAATTAAACTTACCCTTTATTTTTTTATTGTATTTTTTAAATGTATTTTATTGATTTTTTACAGAGAGGGATAGAGAGTTAGAAACATCGATGAGAGAGAATCATCAATCAGCTGCCTCTTGCATACCTCCCAGTAGGGGGATATGTCCACAACCAAGGTACATGCCCTTGACAGGAATCGAACCTGGGACTTTTCAGTCCACAGGCTGATGCTTTATCCACTGAGCCAAACCGGTTTCGGCTAAACTTGCCCTTTAAAGTCTGCCCCTCACTTGAGTTAATGATATCACCTCTTACCCATCTGCCACAATGGAAACTTCCAAATCTTTATTGTTTCTTCTTATCACTCCTCAGATTCTATAAGCTACAATCTCCTGACCTACATCTATAGAATTACACTTCTCTGTGTTTGCCCGTTTATCTGATACTGTATCACCGAAAAGTAGTTGAATAGCATGGCACCAAATTTGGCAGTGAGAATATAGGCTATGTGGCAGCTATAACATCCACTGTGAACATTCTGCTGGGGAAAGGGGCACTTCAGAAAGATAGTCAGCCTCTGGAGTAGCTGGAACTGGTTCAATGAGAAGCTTGTCTGACTGCCTAACAAGAGAAAATTTACTCTCCAAATCAGATGCCATTGACAGAGAAAACATGCAGTAGATTCTAACCTGAGTCCCAGGTCAGTGGTCACAAGATCAGATAGACAGGTGTTTTAATTGTGGCAGTGATAACGGAATTGCGTTATTTCACATAAGGAAAACTGTGTGGTTTGCTTCAGGGAGGAGAAGTAGGGGTTTATATATTCGATGACGTTTAATTATTTTCTAAAAGAACTCTGGTGAAACCAAGTTAAGCATAACACCAAATGTATGTTTCGTATGTTCTTGGGAGACTGTCTATAAAAGCCTGTATAATCACTCCTCTGCTTCCAGGCTACACTGCCCGTATCATGAAAAAGAATCTATTCTATTTTTCATGATTTAGTGAAGGGAAGGAAATTTCAAAGTTATCTGTAGCCATAGATTTTTACCAATGTCTTATGATAATGTTTTTTTCTCTTCTGGCTACCATGGAGATGATTCATTTTTTCTTTAGTTCAAAAAGTTCCAAGCATTAGAATAAGATTGGAACTCTGGCCATAATCTGGTCCCATCACCTCCTACTTGGATTGGTGCAATAGCCTTTTACATTTTCTTCCTCTAAACTCTTTTCACTCCATTCCATATTTGTTGCCAAGAAAGTTATTTTTCTAAAGGCCAAGTATGAACATATCACTTGAAATAAACTTGACCTACAATAACATCCTCATACCATAACATGGGATATGATGACGTTTTTTCAGTATCTTTTTCAGCTTCATTTCTCTTCTCTTGATATGCCTGGTGTATTTCCACCTTTTTCCTGACTATGCTATTAACTTCTTTGCATTCACTCTTTAACACACGCGCACACACGTGTGTGTGTGTGTGTGTGTGTGTGTGTGTTTGTGTGTTTTTAATAATAGCCTTTAATTTTTAGAGCAGTTTTAAATTTATAGAAAAATTATGTAAAAAGTACAGAGAGTTCTTATATACTCCCCGTGTGCTGCCCTTTCCCCTATTTTTTATTTAAACATATTTTATCAATTTTTTTTTTTTTTACAGAGAGGAAAGAAGAGGGATAGAGAATTAGAAACATCGATGAGAGAGAATCATCAATCAGCTGCCTCTTGCACACCAATTACTGCGGTTGTGCCTGCAACCCAGGTACATGCCCTTGACTGGAATCGAACCTGGGACCTTTCAGTCCGCAGGCCGATGCTCTATCCACTGAGCCAAACCGGTTTTGGCTCCCCTATTCTTAACATCTTGTGTTACTGTGGTACATTTGTTATAATCGATGAACCAATATTAATATATTATTATTCACTAAAGTACGTATTTTACAATAGGATTCATTCTTTATGCTGTATATTCTATAGGTTTGGAAAAATGTACGAAGACATGTACCCACCATGAGCACATCACACAGAATAGTGGCACTGCCCTACAATTGCCCTGTGCTCACCCATTCATTCCTTCCTTCCTCTCCCCAGGTTCTTGGCAACCACTGCTCTTTTTACTGTCTTCAAGAATTTTCATTTCCAGAATGTCATATAGTTGTAATCATACAGTACATAGGTTTCTCAGGTTGACTTCTTTCACTTAGTAATAGTCATGCAAAGTTCCTCCAGGTCTTTTTATGGCTTGATAGTTATTGCTTTGCATACTGAATAGTATTTATTATTGTCTGGATCTACCAGTTTGCTTATCCATCTATCCATCTGAAGGACATATTGGTTGCTTCTAAGTTGTGGCGATGATGAAAAAGCTGCTATAAATATCCATGTACAGATTTTGGTGTGTTTTCATATCAGATGCATAAATACCAAAGAACATGATTGCTGGATTATATGATTATTTAACTTGGTGGGAAACTGCCAACTGTTTTCCCAAGTGGCTGTGTCATTTCACATTCCCACTAGCAATGAATAAGAATTCCTGCTGCTCCACAGCCTCTCAATTGTTAGGTGTTGTCAGTGTTCCTAATAGGTGTGTAGTGGTATCTCACTGTTGTTTTAATTTGAGATTACCTAACTACATATATGTTCAGTATCTTTTCATATCCTTATTTACCACATGTGTATCTTCTATGGTAGTGGTTCTCAACCTTTCTAATGCTGCGGCCCTTTAATACAGTTCCTCATGTTGTGGTGACCCCCAAACATAAAATTATTTTTGTTGCTACTTTATAACTGTCATTTTGCTACTGTTATGAATTGTAATGTAAATATCTGTGTTTTCCAATGGTCTTAGGCTCTACAGCAGTGGTTCTCAACCTGTGGGTGGCCAGGGTTACCTGCTACTGTTTTTTTTTTTTTTAATTTACATTATAGTTCATTTACAGTAGCAAAATAATTCATCTTAGTAGAAAATCATATTGCAGGCTCGATCCCCATTAGGGGGCATATAGGAGGCAGCCAATCAATGATTCTCTCTCATCATTGATGTTTCTATCTCTCTCGCCCTCTCCCTTCCTCTCTGAATCAATAAAAACATATTTAAAAAATAAAAAAATAAAACATTAAACCCAAGATTACTTAGATTTTCTTCTGTGTTTTATAGTTTTGTGTTTTATATTTAGGTCTTTGATCCATTTTGAGCTAATTTTTGTGAGAGATTTAAGGTCTGTGTCTAGAATCTTTTTTTTTTTTTTTTTTTTTTTTTACATGTAGGATGTCTAATTGCTCCAAAACAACTTGATAAAAGAACCATCTTTTCTCCATTGAATTGCCTTTGTCAAAGGTCAGTTGACTGCATTTGTTTGGGTCCATTTTCAGGGTTCTCTATTTTGTTCCATTGTTCTATTTGTCTATTATTTCATCAATACCTCTGTCTTGATTATTGCAGCTTTATAGTAAGTCATGAAATCTGGTAGTACCAGCACTCTGACTTTGTTCTTTTATAATATTGCCTTGGCTTAGTACATATTTTTGAGCAATATGATTTTCTACTAAGATGAATTATTTTGTTGGATAAATAATGTTATAATAATAATAGTAATATTTAATATTTATTAAACACATACTAAATGTCAGGCACTGTGCTAAATTCTTATTATGGCTTATCTAAGTTAACCCTCTAACAGCTCTAAATAATACACTGAGTGGCCATATTATTATGATATCTGAATGCATAATAATCTGGCCATTGAGTATATATATATTTATTAGAGGTCCAGTGCATGAATTCGTGTATGTGTGGGGTTTGGCCAACCTGGCCAGGGGGAGGGGACATGGGCAGTTGACCAGCCTGCCTGCTGGTCGAACTCCTGGTTGAGGGGACAATTTGCATATTAGCCTTTTATTAGAGAGGATTTACACTGAGTGGCCAGATTATTATACAGTCAGAGATCATAATAATATGGCCATTCAGTGTATGCAACAATATTTTATCTGTCTATTGATCAATCTATGTGTTTTTCTCTCTCTTCTATTATTGACACTCAACCTTAAAATCATGCCCAAGGTCATATAAATATTAAGTACAAGTGCTTGGATTGGGACTCTGTCTCTATAACCTTAGCCAGCATTATACCATGTCTCATATTTACAGATATGCAAAAATGTGTGTGTGTATTTTTATATCAGACTCCAGATGGGTAGAGCGAGAAATAGATCAAAGTCAAGATGTTGGTTTCTAGCTGCTTTAGGACCGGAGGAAAAACAGACAACAAATCCTGATTCCTCCCACCTTGGCTGCCAGGTGTCAATCTGCCTGCAGGAAACTCACAAGAAAGTGTTGCTTTTGCCCTGAGTTTTTTCTAGTTACCTTTTATGCATGACATTTCCTAAATAGTAAAGTAATTTAATAATAGTGGAAAATTTTGTATAGTTTTCCTCTCTTCCTGCTAAATGCCACTTCTCATTCTGTTCCTCTCTCTTGTCCCAGACTGCAGAATACCGCTTTCACAGTGAACCATGTCTTTTTGTGTTGCCTTTAAGGATAATTAGGTGGTTCCCTTTGGAATAAGAGGCCCCATGAAGGCATTGCAAAGGAGGAATCCCCTTGGGCCTGCAACCTGGACTAGGCCATTCCTGAAGCTTCCTGGTCTCCATCTTTTGGTGGGCTTCCCTTAACAGAGAAGGTTTCTCAGGTGTTTGCTTCAGAATGACTTATTTTTCCTTTTTTAGAGAATTTTATTTGGAGTGAAAATATAGAGCCCATCCCAATGATTTATTTTCTTAATGCAAAATATAATTCAGGCAGAGTAAGATCCCTCAAGAGAATAATTTGCATCTTTAAAGACCTCCTGTCTGGAAGATCTCTAGTTTACTAGACTATTGTCCCACTCAGTGGTGATCCTTTCTGGGTATTTCCTTAAAGGAGACACTAGGTGCCTTGTCTCTTCACTTAGAAGAAGAGCTGCCTGGTGCTTATTACATGTCAGATATTACTCCTCATGCCTTACTAACATACTCTTCATAGTAACACATATGAGATGGATATAACTATATGTATTTTCTAGATTAGAACACCAATAATTCTATCTAAGTAATTCATAGAAGGTTGCATAGCTGGAGAAGGCAAATTGTTTTCCTACCCTGGATAGCCACTCTTCATTGCCCATCTTAGATCCTGGTCTTTATCTCCAAGCTCATTTCTTATTACTTTAGGTGCTGCCTTCTGATTAGAATGACTTTAACAACCTATAGTTGCTAGATTGATGGGGCAACATCCTGTGGTTCATTTCTCTTGGTGGCTAGCAATACATATTTGAGAAGTAGCTTATCTGTCTTAGTGACTGATAGAGGAAACAGAGTAAATCAAATTAGTTTTTATGAAATCAGACACCCAAAGCCTTGGCTTGAGGGACAAAAAATTGAAATGGGTGAATTCACTAAGAAATCAGAGTACTGAGCCATTTGGTAACTTACATATCCTAAATTAGTGACTTGAAAGATGAGTTGCTCTCATTTCACCCCTCTTTGGAATTGTAAATAACTTGAAAGATTTATACAGCTTTCAAACTTATTCCATTAAGACCAAATTATAGTTGATGTTTTGGGAGAATTTAACATCTTCTACTTAATCCTACTCCAGGTTTGTAAAATTACTGTTGGATTGGACAGAATGTTTTGAATGCCATTAGCAAAAATAATTCTAAGTCTTTTCATATTTAGAATTATAGAATTGTTTTCAGTGTCAAATTCAAAGGCAAATTCATGGAACTATGCCCCTGATATAGTACATGACAGGTCTTAGGTAACAAAAAATTAGTTGTTAGTTTACTGTTAGATTTAAGAGTTTTTGTGTTCATTTTTGTTTTTGTTTCCTTTTTATAGGGCAATTCCTTTCCCCCCAACTACCTTCCTTCCTGTAAGGTTTGAGGTGCAGGAAATGAGTCAGAGACCACCAAGACATATTAAAGGAGGTGTATTCCCCAGTAATGAGCAGGACTCATTACGGAGGTAGAGAAATCAGAATTAAAGGAGGGGAGAGAAGAGAAGAGAAGGGAGGGACCCAACCCAGCTGACTCCATAGGCAGAGAGAGAACAGCAGCACATGGAAGGGAGAGGTTGGGGGAGCCTTTTGAGGGGAGGAACAAGAAAGGGTGGGACCCAGGGCGGAATAGGAAGGGGAGTGCTCTAGGGCACTTCGGTATGCGCTGATTGGTGGTTCAATGTCTCTGGGATGTCTCTATGGCAGATTCCAGTAATGTCATAACTCCGCCCACCAGTTGGGGGGAGGAAGGATCTCACACTTCCATCCCGCCTTGGTTTAGTAATGCTTGTCCATGTATCAAAAATGTGCATAGAGAAGAAGGCTCATAGCTGCTTGCTAAAAACGTGCACACATTAATTTTGGATGCCTTTGGGAGCACCCTTCTCATGCCTGTCAGTCAGGATCTCATTCAAGGTTATTCTTAGGTCCCAGTCTGATGTCTTCTGAATTGCTTCTTCAGGAGACAAGGTTATCCAGGGCTACTTCTTTGAATTCTAGTAGTATCCTCTCTGAATTCTCATCTCCTCGACCTTTTTATGTATTCTGAATTACTAAGAACAGTAAATGCTGCCAAGTCAACAGATATTTAAAGGTTGCAATGTATATAGGCAATTCTCTGGAGACTAATATTCATTAATGACTGCTTGGAACTTGACTTCTATGAAGAATATTTAAGTACCACAAGATTACTTTTATAAGTACTTTTATTTTCTGTCTGTACCATCCATCATAGGCAACCTACATTGGCCATTTGGCTGCATCTGTTTGAAGCTTTGGAGGCTGTTTTACATCTTTATGTCTCTGTCTTTATTGTTGTGGCGGTCGTGATTATTCTAGTAAAGCCAGGGAAGTCAATGTAAGAATTTCATTTCTCTCTGAATTTGAAATTTGGAGGGAGACAGGGGCAAGAATGTGTGGGTTATATAACTTCAACATTTCATCTATTCTGATTAGATGATGAGAGGAAATTAAACTCAGTTTATAAGTTTTATAATGCTGCTTTGGTTATGGCTATCAAAAACTGCACCTGCGGAAGTGTGAAGTTTACGTAGGTAGCCTAAAATGACTTAAAAGTATCCTAATTAATCAAAGCAGTATTTTCCCAGTCTCACCCTTTAGAGTTCTTTTTGAGTTTGCTCACTTGTGCTTATTATCTGCAGATGATTTATTTTCTGTTTTCACTGAATTGACTCAATAAGCCTGTTACCCAATTTAGCCTCCACTTAAGCAATGATATTAATGAGATCCCAACTTTGTGGTGCCCATCGTCTGTATTTCTAATAATGTTAAAATAAGTGCATAGCTATTGAACTACAAAATATTTCTGAACCAACTAGCCTCATTCCTCATACTTCTGATCTGCTTTTCACCCACTGGATATGGGGCCACTTTGGGGCCTACACTGAGGATATTCTTAACAGGAAAAAAAGGAGCCTTGTACCATAGGTCGTCATTTATGGACAACCTTGGCTTCAGGATAAAAAGTAAAGGATGTAGGAAAATCTTCGTACCTCTCTTTTACCTTCTAGTAATCACAATCCAGAAGGTTTTGTTTCTCCTCCTCCTCGTCCTCCCCCTCCTCATCCTCCCCTCCTCTTTTACTTCTTCTTCATGCAAAACTTAACAGGTACCCAGGGCAGGAGAAAACTGCTAATAAAGCCACACCAGCTCTTCCTCTTTCTGCCCTGCAATTCAGATGTGTTATCTTCTAAATGCAGGGAGGGTTCCTTAGTGTAGCCTTGCAGGGAGCTGTGAGACTTGTGACATTTCCAAGTCCCCGCTGCTATAGCTGCTCCTGTGTGTTTTATCTCTGCCATGCTTACATCCAAATCGCAGCTCTGTTGTGATGCTTTTGTGACTGCTGTCCAGAGAGAATGACCAAAGAGAACAGCAGGTAATACAGGCCATTTCTGCAAAAGACCCAGGTGTGATACTTGTGCCAGCAAAGGGACAGAGTACAATGAAACCAAATGCCCACTCCTCCTCCTGGAGGGATAAAAGGAACGGATCAATGACTTTCCTTCTGGAAGCATGGGGGAATTTAGTGTTTATCAAACAATGATGACATCTGTGCTTCTATTTATGAAACAGATGGGAATAAGAGGGAGTGGTGAGGGGGCTGTTAGGTCGTGAAACTCCACTGGGTAATTCCCAATTCGGTGCCCTCTTTCAGGTTCTTGAGCAAAATGGGAAATGGTTCGGTGAAACCCAAACATCCCAAGCATCCAGATGGTCACTCCGGGAACCTCACCTACAATGCCCTGCGGAGCAAGGTGACAGAGCTGGAGAGAGAGCTGAGGAGGAAGGATGCCGAGATCCAGGAGCGGGAGTACCATTTGAAGGAACTGCGGGAGCAGCTGTCGAAGCAGACCGTGGCCATTGCGGAGCTCACGGAGGAGCTGCAGAACAAGTGCATCCAGCTGAACAAGCTGCACGATGTGGTGCACATCCAGGGTGGCAGCCTGCTTCAGGCCTCTCCAGACCCGGTGCCTCTGGAGGTGCACCGGAAGTCCTCGGGGCTGGTCTCTCTCCACAGCAGGAGGGGAGCAAAGGCTGGGGTGTCTGCCGAGCCAACAACCCGAACCTATGACCTCAATAAACCCCCTGAATTTTCCTTTGAGAAAGCAAGAGTCAGAAAGGACTCCAGGTAAGATGTGCCCACACTCCTGTGACTCCGGTAGCCTTAATATTATGAAACACTAGAGTGTTATTCATTAAGCCTTGTCAGTGGTAAAGAGCATTATTACCCTTTCAGATTTGGGGATAAACTTACTTCTAAAATGGTCTTGCTTTGCAATAGGGTCTCTCTTAAAGGAGGACTTTTCTTTAAAGAATTGTGCTTGGACGTTGATTCGTGATATGTACAACTGAAAAACTGAGTTTATGAAACTTATTTTCATTATCTTGACAACCTTATGGGAGTGAAAAGGTAGTTCTCCCTTTCTATAGGAGTGGAACTTAAAAGTGTACACAAATTACAATGCATTATGAATATGCATAGCAAACCCATTAACTAGCACTTAGTATGCAAATGTTGTGAAAATGGAATAAGCTGAAGCTTCAGAACTGGATGAATTCATTCATTCACCCGTAGTTCAGATTGAGCACTATGCTACTTTCATGCAGCCACTGTTAGATGCTAAATAGACATCAGTGAATAAATAGACACAGAGCTTTTCTCAGCAACAGATAGTATACATGGAAACAAGTTAACGCTGTCTAATGATTAATTGGGATAAGTGATATGAAGGTTATAGTCGGTGGTATCTGGGGTTTGAGGAAGAGAGGGGCAAAGGGGCAACAGAATTGGGATTGCCCTGGAGGCCTGGCTGAGGAGGTGACCTTTAACTGAGACCCAAAGGAGGAAAAGGAATATGATCGAGGTGGGAAGGACGTTTCAGGCATTGGGAACAATAAAAGCTAGAATTAATTATAAAGATAAGTTTTGTTGTTTTTTTTTAAAAGGAACATGTACCACATCATTCTTATATGTGTATTTTGTATGTGTATAGGTGTGTGTGTGTGTGTCTGTGTGTGTGTGTGTATGTGTGTGTGTACATTTCTCTTCTGGTTCAAGTTTGAGTTTCCTAACCAGGAAAGATTGACTAGAAACATCATGAATTAGGGTTTTCTTTCTGAATTATTTTTAAGTGAGTATTTATTAGTTGAAATTAGATCTTTTGCCTTGATAATGTCTTGGCTGAGCCTGAATCTCTCTTGAAAAATGCAAGATTTGTGATATTAAAACAAATTTTAATCTATTCACTGAAACAAGTAATATAAATCAAGATAAAACATCTGACTTAAATGAATAAATGATTAATTTTGACAACAGATAGAAAGGCAGGTTAAATTCATCAATTTGTTGACTCTACTTGACATATAGTGAATGACTGATAAAGTATTTTCTAATAAAACAAATCAAGCTGGAGTATTAGTTATATTATTCTGTGGCTGAAAGAAATCTGATAGTTCAGCAGAGTGTTTTTTAATATATTTTATTGATTTTTTACAGACAGGAAGGGAGAGAGATAGAGAGCTAGAAATGTCGATGAGAGAGAATCATCCACCAGCTGCCTCTTGCACACCCCCTACCGGGAATGTGCCTGCAACCAATGTACATGCCCCGACCAGAATCGAACCTGGGACCTTTCAGTTCGCAGACCGACACTCTACCGCTGAGCCAAACCGGTTTTGGCAGCAGAGTGTTTTTAAGCCAAGATTTTTAATTATAGTTGGTTTAGAAATGTCTTATTTATTTCCTTTAATAATTACTTATTTTTAATGGTGCAAATTCAGAAATTATAAATTTTACAAACTTACGCTTGTTTTTCAAAAATTGAATATCATCCGGTATTCCCTTCTGATATGTCAGAGATATATGCACATTTGGCAATATTAAATATTATGTATTATTACTAACTAACTAAGTATATATATATATATATATATATATATATATATATATATATATTAGTACAGAAGCACAATATATAATTTACCCACACACAAAGAAATCTTTCAAATAGCAATGGACTTGTGTATATGGGAAAAGAGTGGGAGAATTTGAAGTAATTTGTCTTCTTTCACCCTCTCCCTATATATACCACCAGATTTCTTCTCTTGAACAAAGATTATGTTCAATTATTTTGTTCCAAAGACTAATGTCCTCCTTGAAGCAAAACATCATTCTCCTGGTGTTAGGAAACTGAGTAATCTGGGATAAATATATTTCTTTGTTATAACCAGGCAAAGAAAATTAGCAGTTATATACAGTCTATTCCTGGGCCAAACCACCTGTCTAGTGAGTGGGATAAGAAGAGCGAAGACATTATACCTCTTAAATAAGGTTTAGCAATGATTCTCCTCATCATCAAAGCAAGCCAAGTGGGTATAAATCTATGTTGAGGTCATGATGAAGAAACAGGCTCATTGATTCCTTAATGATTAAGTCCTCAGGAAACCAAACTAGGTAATTCATGCCCTAATATTCCATATCTGCTTTTATAGGGTTTTGTGGTTCTAAATTGGAAATTAATTAGACTAAGGGAGCCACTCTTTTTTGTTGTTGAGTGCTTTGTATCTCATGTGTGAAGTTTGTGCTTTAGTTTTTCTTACAAAATCTCTCTCTCTTTACCTCTGTAATAACTGACTAAACACAGGTGATATCATCAAATTTTCCATTTTTTTTAAAGTGCTCAATATTGAAATTCATTTTCCATTTTCAAACAGTTTCAGTTTTAGAGAAAATCCATGAGTAAACTTTAGATATTTTTATATATCTTATATACAGCCTATGAACTATTGTGTAAGAAACAATTTTCTAGAAGTTAGGTCATTTTAAAAGATGGGCGCATCATTCACTGATAAAGGGATGATGTCAGTATCCATTGGTTTGGTTACGTGTCCCAGCAGTACTGTTAGATAATAGAGTATTTAAGATATCCATCAAAATAGTTCTTCATTTATTGTTAGGGTCACATGCTTTATTTGTTCAACTTTTATAAACTTTCCTGGCTGAATTTATGACAAAATTCATTTCTATTAATATGTGTTCACTACATTTTAAAACTATATACATTTTTATTGATTTTAGAGATGAAGGGAGAGGGGAGAGAGATAGCAACATCAATGATGAGAGAGAATCATTGATCGGCTGCCTCCTGGATGCCCAGCAACCTGGGGTATAGAGCCCGCAACCCGGGCATGCGCCCTGACTGGGAACCATGTCTTCCTAGTTCATAATCTGATGCTCAGTCTCTGAGCCATGGCTGCCTGAGCTCCACTACGTTTTGCATAAAGTCTCTTCTCCCATCTGCATCTGAAAGCTAGAGAGGCTTTCCAGTCTTTTTCTCCAAAAGGATGTCTCTGACTAATACTTAACAGTGAGCAAGAGAGGGGAGACTCAGCCCTCGTGTAACCCACAGGAGTAGGGAGATAGGAAGTACTGACAGAAACCAGACAATAACCTTTGGGGAAATGGTAGATTTGCAATTTGAGAATTCAAATTCAATAATTCACCAGAAACCCTACAACCCATGACATGGCATTCTGTAAGACTGCTGAGCCCCTGATCAAATGTATTATAAATGGCCAGTCAATCTCACCAAGTGCCAGGCAGCCTGCTCACGCCAGCTGTGTTGTCCTCTACCCATCCAGTGTACCTGTAGGTCCCAAAGGGGTCACTCAAACTGTATACATGGTTACTTCTCCTTGCTTTCTTTCTATGAAGGAACTTGTGTCCTCTACTGTCTCTTGCAAAATCCAAGGATCAAGTTTTTAAGAGCAGGTTCTAGAATTATTCAGTGTTGTCCAATAGAATTTTAGAAGTGCTGGAAATGTTCTATAAACTCTATTGTCCAGTATGGAAGCCAATGGCAAAATGTGGCTGTTGAGCACTGGAAGTATGTGGCCAGTGTCACTGAGGAATTCAATTTTTAATTTTAATTAATTTAAAGATTACCAGTAAATAGCCTCATGTGTCTGATGGCTACTGTATTGGATATTGCAGTTTTATGTTTTTTTTGTTTGTTTGTTTGTTTTGTGTATATGTGTGGTTTGTTTGTTTTACCATAACCACTATCCCCTGAGATCAAAACAATGATTTAGTGAAGTTTGGGAAAAGTTTATAGACAAAATAAGACCTATGTTTGGTTTTAGGACAAATCACAGAAAATGAGTGCTTGCCTGTCAGACTGAAGTGGGCACAAAGTGGAATCACTCTTAAGCTGCATTAAACCTTCAGTGTAATATCATAGGAGTTTGTAGTGCTTTGGCATTGTTCCCACTGACCATGGCAGATCTTCCAAAGGGTGCAACTATGTGGGCATGAGGCCCATTTCTATGACAGGTACTCCGCCCGCCTTCCCGAAGTATCCTAAACCATGATGAGTCAGAGCACTACAATCTACCTGTGTGATCCCTAGTTGAAATTTATTGTGAACATAGGGGACTTCAGAGATAGAACCTTAGAGATTATTTCAGGCTACCCCACTTACGGGAGAGTGAGGAAGCAGGTGCAGGGGAATTGCAGAGCTAAGATTAGAATCCGAGATTTTGACTTTGAAACCAGTTCTTCCCCTTTACAATCCCAACGTTTTTAGACTGCTCACAAAGCTCTAAGGTAAGGCCAGAAGTCAGGCCAGCCTGGGCACTAATCTGCTTTATTTTGACATGCTCTATGGATTGGTAGGAAGAATGATCATGCCTCCTGGCTTCTTCCAAGCAGAGCTGACCAAAGCTTATCCTAACCCTAACCCTAACCCTAACAGTGCATTAATATTTGCCCAGTGTTGGGTCCTCAAAGCTCAGGATGTTGTGAACAGAACACAGAGAATGGGTTTAATCCATTTTATAGCACACATTGTGATACATACGGAGGGTCTGAGAACTATCAATGGCAGAGGAAGGGGAGAAAGTTCAGATAGCATTTCTGTTCATGTCTGAGTCTGCCTTGAGGCCAAGAGAAGCCTGTTTTCAGCGGTCAGCCTTTTTACTGAAATGACATTTTTTGTTTATGTAGACATCATTTAGCAAGCTCCACCACCAGCAGAGCAAAATTAGGAGCTTGTGCTGGAACACAGGCAAATTAATCAGAGACATCTGGCAAGTTGCTGGTCTGCCTTTCCCCTAAGAACGCTTGAATTA